GGTCCATGCCACCATGGTGTAAAACTTCTAAGTTGTTTTGGATTAAGACCTCTAGTTGCCACGTCTACAGGGTTATCTTCTGATGGAATATGACGAAAAATAAAATTCGCTTTACGTATTTCCTCGGCTCGATTTTGAACAAATCTTGGTAATAGATTAGAATGGTTTTTTATCCAATGTAAAGCACATTTAGAATCCAACCATAAAATTATCCTTGTATTGACGATATCCAGCTGTGTTATGACAAATTGCGCTGCTCGCGTTCCGATTAGTATGGCCATTAGCTCTAGACGCGGTATTGTCATACCTTTAATAGGAGCAATGCGAGATTTTGCAAAAATGAGCGATGACTTTGTTTCTTTCATATCCTGACTCACTAAATACACTGCTGCTGAATATGCTACGCTTGAAGCATCAGTAAATACATGTATTCCAATTAAATCTGTAGAAGTTGTTACAAATCGCGGTAAGTCTTTTACGACCGTTGCCCATTCAGCAATAAGAAATTTCCATTGCTTATGGTCTTGCTCATCTAATATCTGATCCCACGAATTATTCTTTTTCCATAAATTTAGCAAAAATATTTTAAATCTTACCATTATTGGAACTAAAAATCCTATTGGATCATATTGTGATGCAACAAGCTGTAAGATCGTTCTTTTTGTTAATTCTCGGTCATTCCATGGATTTAATTTTATCTGAATGACGTCTTGACAGGGATTCTATGAGATGCCGAGGATTTTCGTATTTTTTCTTATTGCTCGATCTTGCTGCGGCAGTTCTGCATAAAATTCTTCGTCGTTAGATAAGAACTCCCTTAGATTCATTGAGGCTTCATTGAAGATGGATTTCATTTCCGCATATTTTTCTAATGCGTCCTACGTTCCGTTTGATGACACAATAACGTTGTCCACATAAAGGTTTTTCTTTATTTCTGCTGCTAATTCACTAACGTGGTTTTCCAAATGATAATTCAGGGTAGCAGATAGTAAAAAGGGGGATGATATTACTCCAAACGGGATTCTTCTAAAACGGTAACATTTTATATTCTCATTGGATACACTTCCTTCTACTTCCTTTAGCCAAAGGAAGCGAGTACAATTTCTCTCTGAAGGGTGTAACTGTATTTGTAAGAATGCCTTTTCAATGTCAGCTGTGATTACCCCTTTCATCATTCTAAAGCGTAATAATACTCCCACAAGATCTGGGAGGTTAATTGATCCACGATATAATACTTCATTTAAACTTTTCATTCCTTTTATGTGCGCTGAAGCATCATAAACAATCCTTAACTTAGTGGTAGTTTTACCTGGATTACGAACATCATGATGTGGCAGGTAATGAATAATTCCATCTTGATTCATTTGTGATTGTACTTCTTCGATTATGCCAGATTGTAGTTGATCTTGTATTGCTTTATCATATTCTTGTAATTCCTCTTTATGGGACTGAAGTCGTGCTATTAGCATTCGCAAACGGCTGACGCATAATCCATAATTATCGCTCAATTTGCCTTTACATGGTTTCCATGGCCAACGTACTTCGTATCTTCCATTTTGTTTAGTGATACTCTTCTTAAATTGTTCCAGTGCCTGTTCATCATCTTGTGTATCAGATCGATCTTGGATGCCAATACAGTCCAACTTCCAAAATTGGTCTATATCTGGAGCACGATTTTCTTGGAATATCTTCATTGCGAAGGTGTTACGAAGACATAATCCGTCAGTACAACCGCTTCCCGCTATGATGGGACCAACTTTGCTATGCAGTAGAGTGAATGCTGAGCGTTTTTCATGTGAATGAAGTCGAAAAAATAGTCAGCTCCTGTGACTATGTCAGGTTGTTTTCTGTAACTTCTAAGATTAGAAATTTCGTTTTTGTCTGCTATTTTAACCACTTGAAGATCATTGTTTGATAATCCATCTCAATGGCTTAGACAGTCGTTTATTTGAAGCCTTCCGTCTTTATTCCAATATGTGTTTGAGTTATGTGACATACTCTGGAGATCCTATTGCCAAAGGAGGATATTTTGTATTCTCCTTCATCAGTTTCTAGAAGACCAAGTCGATATGCTTTTTTTTGTGAAATAAAGATTGAATCAGCACTGATGTCAAGGAGTACTAGGGCCTGTACCTGACGTTCAGATTTATCAGGATTAAAGACGGTAGCTTCTTTACATAGAAGCAATACTCGTTTCGTTTCGATTTTCATGTTCAAATTGACAGATATATTTGCATTTCTGACAACCACAACTTTTATTCCTTTGTCAATTCCGGAATCTTTGGGCTGTTTGGACTTATGACTTTTAGCGGTGCAAACAGCGCTGTTATAAGATTCCTTACAATAAAAACAACTTGCTGGTTTTCTGCAATCGGATTCACTATGTCCAATCTTAAAATACTTAGAGCAAACATTGATTTCCTTCAACCGATCAATTCGTTGCTCCACTGTAGAATATATGTGACACTTACTATCCCGGTGATTGTTGTTGCAGAAAATACAGGGTTTCTTTTTTTATTTGTCAGCCAATTTGAACTTTCTTATTTTGGCTGTGATTGTTTCATTGTTATAAATGCTGAGCTTTCTGGAATGATTGAATTAGGTTGGCGTCTAATCAACTTTCTTTGATTTACGTTATCCGAATATTGCCATTCCAATACCTGATCGTTCCTGTTGATTGCTTTCTTAAAAAACTGTCGAAGTTTTATTGCGGACCACTGGTCATCTTCCTTTTATTGATAAATCTGGTTCGGCATCCAATTTGGTAATTTGAATTCTATTATATTTCAATGGTCGGTTGCTCTACGTTTTCGCCAATTGCTTCTAGCTGCCTTAACATTCTTTCCATTTCTTCGACTATTATTTTCCAATTTCGGTCGTTTCGTTTGTAGATATGAGCTCATTGTACAGTAATTTTCTTATGGTGTGAACACGACCAAATTTTTCCACTAATAATTCTCTTATAATGTCATAATTTTCAGGTGTCCTACCATAGCATTTTACTAGCTTTAGGGCGCTTTCTTTTAGACAAGAAACTAAATAATTTAACTTTTGTATGTCGGGTATATTTTGAGAGTGTACGGAGGCTTCGAAACTACTGCTGAACTTTCTCCATATCTTAGGATCACCGCTGAATGTTGACAATGACAGTTGAAGCAAATTTACTACTGGACGACATTCAGTTAGACTGTGTTCCTTCGTGTTAAGCGTTTAAGAGCTAACTCAGTATCGTCCTTATACATTGATAAGGTTATAATAGTATCCGTACTTATGTTGATTAAATTTAAAATACCTCTGTCATTAGTTGCCATTTCTTCATATTTCCCTTCTTTCTTTCTTTGCAACATTGGGGTTTTTAAATGTATTCCAATCATTTATCGTCGATTTTTTCAAGAGTGCAACGTACTTTTCGAGGCGCATTAATTTTTTCTTGATGATTTTTGCCTCGTTTCGTATTGCTGGCACAATACTTTTATTGTCGATTTTTGTTCTAAGGCGGTTAGATCCCTTTATCGTATTTCATCGAGAAGTTCCTCGAGATTTGCTTTTACCGATTTCGCTTTGACAATTATGCTGGCAGACATATCTCACAAATCCTTGTCGTGGAATTTAGTGATTGACAGATAATTTATTTTACCGAGCTCGAACTTGGGTAATTAAACCAAACAAATCAACATGTAACAACGTCCAACACATAGATATAATACAATTATAAAACACTAAAATTTTTTCAAAATACCTCTAAAAACCACCCAAAAACGTGGAATGAATAATGGTTAGTGAAGGTTGGTTAGTTTATATACAGAACTAATTTGACAACCGGAAATCCGGAAGAAAGTATTCCCATGAATGTAAAACAGAGATTTGTAACAAGATTGGTTTTTGTTGTATGAGATAAAAGGAAGTAATTAGCACGAAAGATCTGGACATAAATTAATTACAAATGCAAAATTATTTGGTGATTGACTCATCACGAATGATAAAAATTGTTAAGATTTGAATGTAACTTAAATGTTGTGTTTTTTAGAAAGATCGCTTTCCCTTTTTTGTTTACCTTTCATTTCTTTCAATTTATTAATGTTGTATAATTGACTGATAACATTATTTCCATACCTTTTCTTTTTTAAATTTCGATATTCAATTTCTTATGTATTTGATAAAAGTAACGGACATTATAGATACCTATGTAATTTACTATTCATTGGTGTTCTGTGTATGAACTTTAATTATTTTTTATTTTGAAATGAAATTCAATATTTTTAATATATATGTACGTGTGTCTGTGTATGTATGTATAATATATTTGTATGCGTATATTTATATAAAAGTTAAATTCATTTGTAAATAAAATTCTAAAAATCCTTAATTTCTTATTAGAGATATTAATTAAACAAAGTGATATGACTTCAATATAATCTTTTGTATTCAATGAAACAATTTTGTGTGAAATTTCCTTAACGAAATCTTTCATTATTTTTGTCTTTTCTTTCTCTTTTTTTTTTTTTTAATTTCTATTATTAAACAATAATTTATTAAAGTATTTTCTGGAAAATCATTTTTTCTTTCTTTTTTGTGCATAAGTTATCATCCGTAAGCTTTGTTTTCATCATCTTTAGATCGTTGACTAGAATTTTTCAACTACAATAATAATGGAATCAACGCAATATTATTATTAATCGATATCGAAATAAATTTAAAAAAAAGTAAGATAGAAAGATATGCAGATGATGATGAAATTAAGTTTAAATAGAGATATTATTGATCATTAGCTAAAAAAGCAGCTATATTTCATAAAACCAAAAAGAAGACAATAAAAAGAAAGAGAAAAAAATTTATTTGTACAGCTGGCATTTTATGCCGCAGTATATTTTGTCAAAATTATAATTTAGTAAACTTAAATTATTAGTGCTAGCTAGCACGACGACAATTTTAAGCCACTTTTTTTTTTTTTTTTTTTTTTTTTTTTGTATTCTGGGACAAGCATTCTGTTCATATCAATAATGTCATCACCATCAGTCACATTATCATCATTAGCAACAATTGATGTATCACAAGAAATTGACGAAAAAGTGGAGTTACCACCAAGTGAACCAATTTCACCGCAATACGTGATACCGATTACACCAATCAGTACATCACCAGCATTAATACCATCATTTATTTCATATGGTATTAGTCATGAAACAAATTTTGATCATAATGATGCGAAATATCAGTGCTGCTATGGTTATATGCATATTATGGTCAGTTTAAATTTTTATTTAAATTTCAGTTAAAATTTAAATTTTGCGAATAAATAATAAAATGCGTGAAAAAGAAGCACGTGAGAGTATTATATGCGCTAGATTTTGCTTATTTAAACTGTTGTCCTTAAACATTCATATCGTTTTCGCTATTAGTATGATAAAAGATTTTATTTATATCATTTGACATAAATGACATAAATCAGACAATAATATTTTTCAACTTTATTATTTCAAAATTTTTAACATTAAAATCATAATTTAGTAAAAAAAAAAAAAAAAAAAAATTGACTAGCCTAATATAATTGTTATTATAAATAATACAAATACTTAAATTTGCATTTAAGTAAATTTAACGCCCTAATGTTTTAAATGAAAATTTTGAGTGATAAATTATTTTAATCTGTCAACTTTTTATTTTTGTTCAATATTCATTAAAACGATTAGAATTTATGATTAAAATTAATCTATCATAGTTATTTAATCATAGTTTTATAGTTAGCTGCACGAATTATTTCTATTGCTTATTTCTGCGGAGCGGTATTTGTCGTTTTTCTTACCGTATGCTCACAAGGTGCAACTTTAGCATTTTATTCGATTGCATCACTTGCTTTTGCATTTGCTATCTTTGGTACTTTAGCATATGGCATTTTTAAGGAGAAACAAATATTCATTCTACCATATATAATTTTTCAAGTATGTTAACAAATTTTTAATTAAAATTTAAAATTTTTGCCTATTTATTAATTTTTGATAACATACTGGTTACAAAATTAGTAAATGTCAGCTTAATTTAATAATTTATGATATCATACATTAAGTACGAAATTAATAAACTAGTTTAATTTGATAATTATGATATCATTTTTGGTATAAATTAATAAATGTCAGTTTTTTATTAATTTATTTTAGTTTATGATGTCATAATAAGTATAAAATTAGTAAACATAATCATTTGACTATCTGTTTTTCGAATTATTCTCTTCTGTTTACCATTTGAACTATTTGAATTATGATAGCGTGTAATGTTAAAAGATATATGTTATTCATTAACTAAGTTTTAAATGATAATCTAATGAAATCATGGAATTATCAGTTAGTTGTTCGAGTTATTTCCATTACTTATTTCCGCTGTGCGATTTTTGCTGTGTGTTTGTAAGTAAAAGTAGCAAGTATAGGTATTTTATTAGTAAGTAAAAAAACAATAAAAGTTGTTTGCTATGAAATGTTTTTGACATATGTGTATTAGGTTAATAATATTTGAATTTCAATACCATTTGGTATTGTTTTTTAGATTACATCAGTTTTATGTACAATATTCATAATTGCAATCTTTGTTATTGGTTCTATATTTTCTAATAAAATGATCAATGCCCTTGCTGCTGACATCGGTGGAATGCGAATCAATGATAACAGAATCACTAAATCTGGTACTTTTCTTTTTTTTTTTTTACAAAATTTCCTAAATAAATTTTACAAGTATTTTATCAAATTTATCGTTCAACTGCGGTGTTTTCTCTTTTTTTTTTTCAAATTTTTATACGATTCAAAAATTTCTCTTTTTTTTTGTATTTTTATATAATTTAAATTATAGCTAACTTTTTATTCTTTGAATTAAATGTGTTTTTTAATATCAAAAAAAAAGAAACAATGTGTTGTATGAAATCATTTTTGATAAATTCTTCTATAAAAAAAAAAAAAAAAAAAAATAAATAAAACAAAAAAATTTTTGAATTTTTGTAACAAATAAACTTCTACTGATAATGATTAATATCTTCATTGCTTGAGATTTTGAATAGTTCTTTGTCAAATTATTCTTCCAATTAATTATATTAAAAAGTTTGAACTTATTAAAACTATCCTCATAAATTTTTTAGAGAATTACTAACTGATAAAAGTATGATTCACGTGTGACATTGAAAACTCAGCTGTTTATTTTGAATAATTGTTTGTCAAATTACTCTTCCGTTCAAATTGCATATAATGTAATTTGAATGCTTTTAATTTAAACATAACTATAATAAAAAGTTTGAACTTATTAAAAGTTGTCCTCATGCAAGTTTTTAGTGAAATACTAACTGATAAAAAATTTGTTTTTCAGATATGCAAATGTTTGGTTTACTATTTGTGATAGCATTATTAATACTACTATTCATTCAACTGTGGTTTATGGATGTTATTTGTCGCTTTCGAAATTTCATTCTTGATCGAGAAAATTCATTTTCATTAAATTTAACCTCTGTACTAAATAATAATGATGCTTTTTTTAATGACTTATCGTCACTTCATTATAAGGAGTAATTTATAATAATTTTGCTACAAATAATTATTATCATAATTACTAAAATAATCATTATCATAATGTAATCATAATTGTAAATCATAATATTGTTGGCTACTGAAAAACGAAACAAAATTTTGAGAATAGAACAAAAGGACTGAAGTGTGAAATTTTGAAAATCATTTCTGTAATTTTTTCCTTAATTTAAGTATAAATTTATCTGTTTGAAAAGCAAAATAAATTTAATTTGCTTTCATATTTCCATTGCTTCATTCAAATAAATTTGTTTGTTAACAAATAAATTTTCAAACTTTTCAGTTTATATTCATATAAAAGAAGTAAATAACTAAGAGTATTGTAATATGTACGTGTTAACTACGTAAATTACTTGAAAAAATCAAATTATACTTTTTTTAGCAATGTATTAAATCAATCGCTATTTAATATTTATGCATAGTATAATGCAAACGTTTCATTCAAAAACAAAAATAACTTTGAAAACGGTGTTCAAAACAAGAATGATTCATCTTATTGTTTGAACAACTTCTCTTATTTGTACAGCTTAATCGTTCGTGTTATATTCTTTTTTTTTTTTTTTCCTTTTTACATTATCGATAAGTTTTTATCCTATCATTTATTACTGTAGGCATATGTCAACAATAATTTTTTTTTTTTTTTGCAAATTATTTTAAGACTTTTTTTAAAATCTTATTCCCAAAAAATTCCAGGAATTTTGATTATTTAAAAATTTAGCTATTACTATTGTTTTAATAAAATACCAATTGATTAAATGGCGCCAAAAATTAAAAGATAAATCAAATGATATCCGATATGCTTATACTAATAAAACTACTCGAAAACATTTAAAATATCGAGTTTTATATGGATTTTATTCATTTCACTATAATTTTAAATACCTAAATGTCTTTTTAATATATCACAAAATCAATTTGTAAATGTAAATGTGTATTGCACATTATATAATTGTAATGTATAATAGCTTATTAATTAAGTGAAATTGGTTTAACATTTTATTTCTCTGTTAGTTTATAATCTCACTTCGTTTTTTTTTTCTGTTCTTCAAAAAAAAAAATATTTTAAAAAAAGTAACATATCACCTAAATGTATTAATTTGTAACAGAAACAATCATTTATTGTAAAGTTTGATGAGTAATCATTTCAAATATTTTAAATTATTGCCTGAAATAAATTTGTAAATTTATTTTGACAACAGCGAAACGTGTGGCTGAACCATAATTAGTCAGTCCTAATTCTCAATATTTATAATTAGACGGAATTTTGGCAAATGGTACAATCTAAATTTGTAAACATAGTTCACTATTGATTTAGTATAATCATAATTTAAATGAATATGATTCAGTTATATTTTAAACTGATTAAACAGCTCAAAATCAATTAAATATCATAAATGAATGAACAATATACAAAAACTAGCATAATTAAGAACATTTGATCATATCATATGTTTTTTTATTTTATTTATTTATTTATTCTTTTTTTTTTGGAAATATGTTTAAACGAAAATTGTAATAACACGTGCGTTACGTATTATTTTGAAAGTTGATTGAAAGTAAAAGGTCGCTCCTACATTTACACTTTCAAACATTAACCGCATATAATTAAATTTATTATTTAATGGAAATTATCATAACTGCTATACTCTAAATAATTACCAATTTCATGGGGACAATCTGATGTGACAAATATTTTATCAATTGTCAACACATTTATCAAATTCACTGGTAGCGTGATTATCGTTTGTTTTTCATTTTCCGTTCAAATGCATTATTTTATTTTATGAGCACTAATTCTATGAATAATTAAGACTAAAACTGGTGTCTTATCTTAGCTTCTAATACTTTGAAATAGTTGATTAACATTTTAAGGCACTCTATCTTTGTTATTTATTATCATGAATGTTAATAAATAATAAGTAAAAAATAAAAAAACCAACCTTAAATCGCACAAATTTATCAATCATTTTAAATTTCTATTAAAAATCAAAATTACAAAAGAAATTATTTATTTAATAGATTATCTCTTTTAGAATTTAGATAGATGGCTAACGAAAAAAGATGTTATCAGGTAAAACAATTATCAGTCAATGTTTATTGTATTCGTGAAGATGATTATTGCAATCATAAACCTTTGATGTATTTAATTATTGGTTATGAGAAAAAGGTAATCTTAAAAAATGATCTCTAATTCTTTTTAACTACTGAAAAAAAGAGATGCAATTTATATTTTTACTCTTATTTTGTGATTGTTTGAAATATATCATTCGAATATTTATTATTCTGACTAATATTCTGCAAGACAAAAAGAATATAATAAAAGTACTATAAAAGTATCATTAAGTATGAAATTAGTCAAAAAAAAAATCGATCAGCTGATTTATATTTATAATAAAATTATTACAATTTCAGGAAAAAAAAGGAGGAAAAATTTTTTCTCTATTTTAAGTTCTTTCCCTTTTTTTTCTTTTTTTTTAAAATTTTCTCAAATTCTCTTTCTTACTAAGTTAAATTATGCATTATATAATTTTAGCATTACTTTTGGATACTGGTTGTAGAACAGGCAATTTATATAATTACATAATGAATCATTTTAACTTAGTAAAAGTAAGAAGATACTAATAGTAGTGAACAGTCATAATCATCCTGAACAGGTAACACTTATAAATTAATTACAACATAGTAATATCATTCTTTTTCAAATTTTATTATCAGTTATCAAAGATTAAAGATGAATATAAAGTTATCAATATTACACTTTTATCACTATGTCTTTTTTTCAAAAGTTTTCTCAATTTATCTAAAATACATATTGTGTTGTTAATTATTTCTAATTAATGCGCCCATTTTATTTCATTTCATTCTGTAGTTTTTTTAACACTAATTAATACAAATTATGAGATAGACAGGTAATAATTGGCAATTTTCTTCTCTTGGTCCTAACGGTCTTACGGTAAATGTTGAAGCATTGTGTGCATCCGATCGTAATCCATACTACACCGAACTTCGTGATAGTGAATACGACTAGCAGGTACGACCTCTCTTTTGACCTATTAAAAAGTTGTACTGTTTTAAAAACCAAACTTACTGGTTAAGTTTTTAAATGATACTGTTTCAAAATGAAATGAACTAAATTAGATTTTTAATTGACAAAAATTTTTGTGTCTTTTGATAAATTAGCAAATTTATTCAATGTTTATTTGTTTAGCAAAACATGTGATTTGTCAAATGCTTTCCATTACATTTTTTGTTATTTATTTCAAAAGAAAAAAAGAAATAATCACTGATATTTTATTTATTGTTTCAAAAAAAAGCAATTATTTAGGTAAAACCGTATAAGGTGACAAAATGGTTATCTGATAGTGCAATAATAGAGCTTGGTGATAGTGATCATGATAAATTAGGAGTGCTTCATACACCTGGGCACACACCGGATTCACTATCTCTGTGGTTATTTATATTTTAACATTTCAAAATTAATTGTATTGAAAGATATTTAAAATTCAAATTCAATGTCATTCATTTGCTATCTGACAGCACTTTAATAAAAGAGTAATACAATTCTTAACATTAAAAATTATTTACTTTGTTATTTAATTGCTACGCGATCGTTTCTCTCATATAAATATTTTTGTCTTTTCCTTATTTGTTATTTTTTTCTTCCAAAGATATTTTCAAATTAAAATTATGATTTGTTTTAGGTACAATGCAGCAAAACGGTTATTTATTGCGATTTGTTTCATCAATATAATGAAGTTATACTAACGTTTGTATTCGTTGACATTTTATGTTATTTTAATTGAAGTTATCTGCATATTTTTAAATCGATTAATATTTTTTAATATTGCTAGAAAAACTTATTAGACTTTGTTTAACTTTATTTATCTTTTTGTTTTTTTATTTGAAGAAAAGGAATGATTTAAATTTTGAAATTATTAATAATTATTCTCCAATTTTACAGTAATATAATACCAAAACATTTAAAATTACTGATGATTATTTTTACATTTTACAATAACATATAAGATATTGTACTACAATTTAATACATTTAAGTAATACATATTATTTATTAACAGTTCTAGTATGTAAATAATAAGTAATATATATTACCTATTATTTACTTGATATTCAGTGCTTCTTAAGGCGATAACTAGCTGATAAAATGATTTTAAATATAAGTGTTAAACTAGTTTTACCTAGCAAAAAAACTGCTCATTACAGTTATGTAATATATTTAATATACAATAATAAATTAATTTGTGGTGGATTAGAAAGTAAATTATAGAAAATTCTGTTGTTTCGTTCTTTTTTTCTCATTTAACTTTGACAAACTTTACTCAAAACTTTTAGATTGTTTGCTATGCCAAAACTATTTTGTTGCACATGTGAAATTTTCTAACTAATTATAGTTTAAAATGGAGCAGTATCAAGGATCAGATGTATTCAGTAAATCGAATTGTTTCCATGGTGAAAAAATTTAAAACTGATCGATGTCGAGTATATGGATCTTTTTTTTTATTTACCTACTTATTTATCATTGCTAAGTGTAAATCAACAATTTGTATGTGACAGATTAAATAAGCTATGAGATGAGAAAATAAAGGAATTTGTCTCTCAAAATGCATAAATGGTTCATAATAAATCTATTATTTGAATTTGTTATTTAAATTCTATGCTATTTAGTAATACTGTATTTCAATCTTTACATCCCACTTCACTTACACTATTAACGTACATGATTTCGAAATATCTTAGTTTTTAAATTAAACAAAGCCTATAATGTTCATTGCGATAGTCAAAGGAGTAAACTATCACTTTCATTATCGACGGATGATAATTCATTTTGATGTTTTTAGACTATTAAAGTACTATATTGAAATTTGAATAAATTTATTATTCAAATGTCAACCTTCTATTTTTAGCTACGATACAGTTCAGCAATTGGTGACAGCGATAGTTCATGTTCATCGAATATACGACATTTTCAACGTTTCCTGATTTCGATTTATCTGATACATGTCATATAACTCCGATCATTGATGGGAAATTTTTTCAAAATACAATTTGTTACTGTAGCAGAGGAAACGGTTGTTAAATAAACCTTATGAAAAAGCTTATTTCTTAAGCTCCTTTTCGAATTTTTAAATTTATCGAATGGTCTTACTGAGGAAGAAAAATACATATTTGGTTGCTACTAAATTTAAATCAAGTGAATAAAATTTGCAGAAATGATAGTGATTTTATCGAAACGAATTATAGAAGAGATCAACGACGCTCGAAAGAAGAAGTTACCAGACTGAATCTGAAGTATGTAAAGATATCACCTTAGAATTAATAATATTTAATTTTCGCATTGCACTAGCTCATTTAAGCATATCATTATCATTATCATTATTATCATTATTATTATTATTATTATTATTATTATTATTATTATTATTATTATTATTATTATTATTATTATTATTATTATTATTATTATTATTATTATTATTATTATTATTATTATTATTATTATTATTATTATTATTATTATTATTATTATTATTATTATTATTATTATTATTATTATTATTATTATTATTATTATTATTATTATTATTATTATTATTATTATTATTATTATTATTATTATTATTATTATTATTATTATTATTATTATTATTATTATTATTATTATTATTATTATTATTATTATTATTATTATTATTATTATTATTATTATTATTATTATTATTATTATTATTATTATTATTATTATTATTATTATTATTATTATTATTATTATTATTATTATTATTATTATTATTATTATTATTATTATTATTATTATTATTATTATTATTATTATTATTATTATTATTATTATTATTATTATTATTATTATTATTATTATTACTGTTATTATTATTATTATTATTATTATTATTATTATTATTATTATTATTATTATTATTATTATTATTATTATTATTACTGTTATTATTATTATTATTATTATTATTATTACTGTTATTATTATTATTATTATTATTATTATTATTATTATTATTATTATTATTATTATTATTATTATTATTATTATTACTGTTATTATTATTATTATTATTACTGTTATTATTATTATTATAGTTAAATGTATATTTTATAAGTTGATTTTATAAGTGAAAATGTATATATTATTATTTAAGTATTGAATTAACCTTTTCCGCGGATACATTTCTGATCTGAGAAGGAGCTTGCATGCTAATTGTAAGCTACGCTGACGATGACATATGTCTTCGGGTAAGGTCTCTCAAGTCAGATCTTTGTTGAAGAGTCAGACAAAGTGAGTGTGCATGGGTAGAAGTTAGGGTAACCATTCTGAGAGAAAGGCAACTCTCACTTCAAACTCGGGCAGATAAAGCTCGTTTCGTTTATGAGAAGGATACTGCTAACAAACGACTTGAAAATTTCGCTGTCATCGTCCAAACTCGCTAGATGGAAGTAGTTCTGTGCACGCTAGATTCATCTAAAGAAACTTTTGCACAGGCTCAAAGGATATGCGCAATTCCATAAAACCCTGCATAGTGAGAAAGGAAGCAGCAGGTGCAACGTGTACTAGGAGCCACAAACCTAACGCTGCACGTAGGTAGTTCAAAACTTTGTTGCTCGAGACTGACGTAGTTGATGACAATCCTGTTTGGTAGCATCCTGAATGATCAAGCAACCTTTTTCAATCATAGCATTGCTTATTCCGTTACGAGAGAGATCTGACTCATCTGGTTGTCCGACCAACAGATATTTTGCTGCAGTCAAGCTCGAACAAAGAAACAAAGGCATACATCTGCCTCCAAAAGTGTGTTCAGATTGACTCTTGCATGTTTGAACACCCGAACATTGCGTGGACTTCTAACTGTCCACGGACTGTCACGACTTAATATCGACACAGTAATCTGCGTGAATAAGGCACTTTTAAAGAAATGGCGAGGTTGTACATTTTTCTTGTCAGGTAAACCGAAAACCGAATGTTCTTACCTGGCTCAACTGTCTCCAAACTGTCAACTTGCCAATAGGTTATTTCGATCGAATTACCCTCATTAGACGCTTCAACTTTTCAAACTGTTTCCATAGGAAAAATCAAATTTTATACGGACCTTCGCGGACTTATCCATAGGTTCTTGCAAACGATCCTTGAATAGGAGAGAGCTATAAGCATAGGAGAGAAGTTTGAACTGGAAAGAAGTATTAGGCAATGACAATGTTGTAAATTGCAATTATAGCGGATGTCTCCTACTTGAGTTTTGGGTAAAATGTCAACTATGGTCATATAAAAAAAAGCCTAAGACAATTTTAGACAGCTCATTGACTGCTTCTGAATAGGCCGCAGAAACATTCGCGATATTCTGCACAAAATATTAAACAAATAACCGTCTCATGCGATGCTAACTTATCCGAGAAGAGCAGCTTCTCGTCTTGCAAGTAGCAAATTTCAACAGAAATTTTAAAACATCGAGAATAGGTGGTAGATTAATGATTCCCATCATAGAAATCTAAAAATTTGTTCGATGAGAACAATCTACGGATTCAGAAGAGTAGCTTCTCATCTTGCAAGTAGTCTTGCAAATAGCAAATTTCAACAGAAATTTTAAAACATCGAGAATAGGTGGTAGATTAATGAAGTCAAGCAGAGCAGACCCAATCATATGCAAATTTTTGCTACCACAAGGAACTTCGAAAGCTTTGAAAATAGTGCATGAACCAATATATCACATTCACAGTCCCTTTCTCAGTTCAGATGGCCGTTCGCTCTTCCCACAGAGAAACTTTCATTTTGAAGGAATAGTCTGAACGCTTTTGATATCTTTTCACCGTTTAGTTAAGGAATGTTGAGCAATTAGTGAGAACTGAACTGGACGTAAACTCAATTTGGAAGAGACTCTCAAGTTCGAATGTAGCAAGGATGTGATGTAATTCCATTTGAAGTCTCCAAGCATAAAGGCTAAATATTCCAAGTTAAATTTTATATCGTGAATTGTTGAGAAGATATGCAATCACTATGATATCATGATCAATCGCCACCATTATCCTATATAAGAAAGGAGAAAAATTCAACCGTTCAATAAAATTCAATAAAAGCACGAGTATTTGTAAATAAACAAACAGTGGCTATTGCAGAAGTACTTCTGTTTGAGAACCAAACTAATTTCAGAGATCTGTAAACATTGTATTTGCTCTCAGACAATTGCAACAAAAGTGTAGGAGCAGTACAAATGCTCTGTATAACGTTGTTGACCCAGGTCAAATTGGGAAATTCACTCTCTGAATCTCTCCCGATAATTAGTGACGAAACAAAGCTGTGTTCTTGCACCTAACCTATTAACATTATCCTAAATTCGATGTTTACCGATGAAAGTTTATTCAACGTCAGACAATTGAAAGCACATACCAAAAGTGCTCATCATCTTACTCAGGGACTATTCTTTGATGTTGCTCTTGTAGCCCATATTAAAGCGTCCCTGTAACGCATAATTTCCTGCTTTGCAGAGATTTGCAAAGCTTTTTGAACTGGATATAGCTTGAGAAAGTTCTCCACCACAGGTAGATTATCATCCTAATTTCGCTACCATAGACTCATCCAAGCTTACATCATTCCAACAATTTACTCAAGTAGGAAACACATTTCCTCAGAATTCACAATTAAAAAAAAATTGAAAGTATGCTGCATGCCTTTGCCAGCTATGGTCGATTTACTAGCATGCAAAAATAATTCCATAAAAATAAGTAAAGCAACAAATATTTGAAGTAAATTACAGGGACTAGTGTTTACAATCACAAAGATTAGTGTTTACAGACCTTTA